AAGGTGCAAGTAATGTATAAAGGAAACAGGATTTATTGGTGGTTTCCAGCTTTGCTTTCAGCCTTGCAGCAGCTCTGTCCACGGTTGGCACAGTTCTCCTGAAATGCAGCTTTTACAATTCCTGAGGAGATTAAACCTAGGAAAAATGAGCTGGGGGGTGGAGGGGGAAGTAAGCAAGGAGAAGGTCACCTCCATGTCCTTACAACAAGCAACTTTCTTTGATTTGATTAAAAATAATCTTAATACCTTCCTTACCATCTCAGACTCTCCAGGCAGATTCAGCCCCTTGCTGATAAGATGGAGCACAATGCAGGGCCCTCACTGCCTCCACGTGTCAGAGCTGTGCTGCTAAGCTCTGCTCTGCACAAAGCTGCCTTTCTGGATTTCCCCTGATCTTTTGAGAACTTACATCTCCTCATTAATTTACTGCTAAGCAACAGTAATATATCCTTAGTATATTAATAGCTGGCTTTAGTTCTTAAACTGCATCCAAAGGCACCTCTTGGGAATTTGAAGGAAGGACGTTAAGAAAAGTTGAAGAAGAGCTTTAGGGAAAGGCTTTTGTTGCTAATTAATGGCACAGCATTCCTAGGAAGTAGAGGGAATGCTGAGAATGGACATCACTGGCACTGATGATGGGGAATTATTAAAATCTGCTTGTGCTCAGGGCCACGGGTGACACAAGTGACTGCATTGTTTCCACCTTTCCAGTGGAGCTTTGTAGTCACCATCTCTGGTTTTACAGCCGTGCCCTCATCCTGCACTGGGCTTTGGGAGCTGACAGGCAGTCCTTGAAACTGTCCAGAGGCCGTGCTGCTGCTGGAGGAAATGGTTGGTAGGGGGGTCACCTGCCCTTGGTGGCACAGAGCTTTCAGCAGGGCAGTGAGAGTGCTGAGCTGCTGTGGTGACTGAGCCAGCGCGATGCTGGGCTCTAAATGGTTGCTAAAGATCATCTGGCACCTCTTGGGCAGAACAGGCTGCAGAGCTGCAGGACGTAGCTGTCTCTTTCAGCTGCCTCTGCTCACAAAGCCTGTGTTCAGCAGCAGATTATGGGCACGTAAAAGGTGATTGGACTCTGGGATAAGTGTGAACTCTGCAGGGCAGCTTGTGGGGTTGTGAGTCGGGTGGGAGGACCCTGCAGGGAGCTGCCTGCAGTGTTGCATGTGGAGGCTTGTTTCTTTTGTAGCCATGTGGTCAAGCGTCCCGATGTAGGACAGGCTTTGAACAGACAGAAGTGATTTTGGATGCACTCCAAGCTCCCAGCCGACCTCCTTCAGTCACAAAAAGAGGCCCTGGCGTTTTCTTTGGCTTGTAACTGGACCCAGCAGAATAGACTTGAGAATGAGCTCCCATGAGAACATATTTAAAAAAGTGCCCAAACTACTTGAGCACTTTTGAAATGGTTATCTATTGAGCAACGCCTCTGAATTCAGCTATGCTTTCATTGTGATTGGTACATGCATTTGGTTTTCCCTCTCCTTGGAGAGGAAAATTGCATCCCATGCCAGAACTGCCTGCATGTAGTTGAGTTGGTGTGAAGTTTACAGGGCTCCTTCCGAGCTCATGAAAGGAAGGGCACAGTGCTGACTGCTCCTTGGGGTCAGACAGTTTCAGAGCAGGCTAGAGGAGGCTTCTGGCTGTGATAATGGTTACAAATAGCAAGCAGAATGAAATGTGAGCTTGCAGTGCTGTTTTACCTGGTTTTGCACGAGGAGCTGAGGACTGGACTCAGCAAGAGGTGCATTGAGCCAGGCACACCAGGGGATCTGGGCATTCTGGCACTCTGTGGCATTGCTGCCAGCCTCATTGCAGCTCCCAGCTGGCTCTGGGTACATCTGAAAACAAGGAGAATTTTGCCAGTGCATCCCAAGTGTTGGCTCCAACCCGTAGCCCTTCCAGATAAATGTTTCTTTCCAATTCGAGTGCTTGGCACCCGGAGCCAAGCATCACAGGCTGTCAAACAGTAGGCAGAATCCAAACGCAGCTCCTAGTGAAAAGCAGCCAGAGCCCTCATTTGTGCAGAGCTGGCAGAGTGCATCGCTGTGAGCTGCGTCGCTGAGTGCACACCTCACCCTGCCCTCTTGTTTCTTTCAGTCTGACATGCAGAGCTGGGAGGAGCAGAGCCAAGGAGCCATCTACACCGTGGAGTATGCCTGCAGGTATGCAGACTCACCCAGTCACTGCATTCGCCAGCACAGGCTTTGCAGTAGAAGCAGAGCAGAGGTCCCTTGTGCTTCCCTGATGGCTTCCTGTGTGAGCCAGGGAGAAAGCAGTCAGGTGGGGGTGTGAGGGTGCAGGGCAGAGCTCCCAGAGCCTCGAGGCTTTCCCTTGGCTGAGCACATCAGCTCTTCCCCAGCTGAGCCTGCAGCGCAGTCCTGCCCGTCTCCTGCAGTGGATCCACTCACTAACCAGCAAGTGTCTGAAGATGTGAAGCACTGTTAGTCTGAGGATATGCTCACCAGTCCTCCTCTCTCTTTCAGTGCCATCAAGAGCATGACTGACAGCAGCGTGTACTTCAGGAGCATTGACAGTCTGCTCAAGCATGCCATTGCCATGAAGGATCAGCTGAACGCCGCTCAGGGCCGCAGGTAGCAAGGCACTGTGACACTGCCCTGCTTATTCATCAGTGACCCTTTTGCCTGACAGAGGCTTTGGTGATGTAATGCAGCCCAGAACAAACATGCCCAGCAGTTATTTCAGTAATGTCATGCCAGACTGTTATTTAAAACAGCATGCTGCTTGCCTTCAGTGATCTGGCTTTGTTTAGCACGAGCAGCAAATAATCTTATTCACAGAAAGAGATAAGTGGAAAATAATTTATTGCCTTCTTTAAATAGGGATGTTTGGTTCTGTAATACACTAAAGCTTTGTGTTAAAGGCACTTGCAGTGTGATGATGCTACTGAGATGGAACAGGTCAGAGGCTGCCCTTGGTGCTGCTCTCTGTCATGCATGTGGCTCTTTCCCTGAGGGAAGTCCCATAGAGATTAGTGGTGCTGGCAGATGCAGCACAAAGGTTGTGTTCTTGTGAATTACAGCTACTAAAACACCTTCCAGCAGATCATCTGAGTCCAGTTTATTTGTCTCCTGAGAACTGTGTTGGTATTGGAGTCTGACTGGTTAGGAGTGAGAAAACTCCCAGGCACCCATGCTCACCACAAACAGTTTTAAATGTCCATCCCTGATAAAACCACCACAGCAAAACAAAGTGCCTCTGTCTGCAGAATGACTCTGCTTTACACATCTCTGGTACGGGTTCTGTATTTTCCCAGTTGCCCGTGCAGCAGGGTCATGCTGTCCAGCACTTACAGTGCATTTTGCTGGGTTGTTTTTATTTTTTTTTGTGGTGCTGTGGCTTTAAAAGACCGCTCTCTTAACACCCACGATGGCTGGTGTGTGCTGCTACGTAGTCTGCGTGGAACACTGAAAGGTGTTCTTGTCTAAGCAGCTCCCCTGCTGCAAGCAGTGAACTTTTACAGGAGGGAACCCCTGGTTCTTCATGTCCTCGTGGCTGCTGGATGTGACTGTCTGTTTCTTTTTACAGCGCTGTTGCCCCACAAGCCAAGAATCCTCCAGGCAGTTCCTGATTGCAAACAAGACTGGCTGTGCTCTGCCTTCTTCTCCAGCCCAGCTCCGCGTTTGCTGACCATATGGAGGAATAAGAAACCTGCTCAGTCTGTGAAGTTGCACAGAGGCCTGTGCCTGCCTGTCTGATCCCAGTAACAAGGTGCTGCACCTGAGCAGTAAAAACCCTGCCACTGGAGTCAGAGCTGCCTTTGGGGGATGCTTTGGGGAGCAGTTGTATCCTTTTCCACAGTGGGAATGGAAATGGGGTGGTTCTGCATTTGTCCTTTCCAGTTCTTTTTGATGGCAGACTGCTAGGAGGCATTTTTCCTCTCTAACCGTTGGCCACAGAAATATCTCAGAACAAACTAGGTCTTCTTTCAGTATTTTGTAGATGGCTGTGAATGGAGGCACACTTCAGCCTTGTTCAGGGGGTGTTCTGCAAGGAGAGCTTTTCGTGTGTGTGCCAAAGAGTCGCTGAGTTTGGTCTTGGTGAGAACAATAATAAAAGGGAAAAACAAGTCTGTTCTGTCTCAGACCTTCCCCTCTTGCTTGCTCGGGCTGGGGGGTCTTGCAGCCTGCTGGTTCTGTGTATTTCAAAGGGCACGGAGCAAAACAAAGACATGCAGAGTTGGAGCCTTTTCAAGTGAGAAAGAAACTGTCCTGTTCTTTGGGAAGAAAAAAAAAGGACTTCATTCTGTGTCATGCAGTGTTAATCTCTCTTGGAACCAACAGTTCTGTTCTGCTGAAGAATTTACCAAGGATACAGGGATCAAAGCAGTGCTAGACTTCCAAAAAAGTGCTGTGTATTGTGCTCAGAGTAACAGGTATCTGTGAGGATAACATGGAAGGTGAGGGGGGATCTGGGTCAGCGGCCTTCCTTCCCTCCATGAAATGCTTTACAGGTTGCTGGATGATGAGGATGTGGGGAAGATCCAAGCACGTAGCTTTAGTAACTGTGAGCTAAACCCACTCATTTTTAACAGGAGCAGCAGTTGCACTTATGCATTCTGTCCTGCAGACAGCAGAGAACCACCAGCACAGCCCTTCCTGCGCCACAGGTCTCAGCGCTGACAATTGGCACCGTCCTTAGGTGACATCCAGGTGATCCCCAGCAAGGTTTTCCCACGGAACACAGGATGGGCAGCTCCCATGTCCTGCCCATAGGGTTGAGATGCTGGTGACTGAGGGAATAGAGGAGGCAATGGAAGGGGAGAGGGGCAGCCAGAGAAACTAGCTGGGGTTGCTGGGGAAGGAGGGTAGGTGTGCTCCTGGACAGTCCTCTCAGCCCTCACACGTGTTGCCACTTCCTTCGCTGCTGCTCAGTGCCCTGCAGAGATGGGACAGTCCTGCTCGAGCCTTTCCCTGCCCCTGCTGTCTTGTTTGCAGGGAGACAAGTGCCAGCAGCACTGCAGGAGGGGCTGGGAGCCCGGCCTTCTCAGCAAAGAAAACCTATTGCTGTGGCCCATGCAGCATCCTCAGAGCAGGAGGGCAGAGGGTGGAAAATCAGCCATCCCGACCTCATGAGGGATCGCTGACACTTGGGCTGTGACGTGACCTATATTAAGCTCTAAACAGAGATGCAGATCTTGGCTATGGCTCCTGCAGTTCTGCTGTGATGAGATGGACATTCCACTCACACCAGGGTCGAGTCCTTGCCCGAGGCTCCAGGTTTGCGTGCCAGCACATTCCTCATCTCCTGGGTGACGCCGTTCCAGGGCTTGCCCTGTGCCTGCAGCAAGGCTGACTCTGCTGACAGCGTCCTGTGCGTGCGGGGCAGGTGGTAGCTCTCCTTCTCTGAGTGTGCCCCAGGGCTGCCCGAGGAGGTGAGATTGCTGCTGGCCGGAGAGCCCAGCTGAGATTTGCGCTCCAGGAACGGAGGGAAGGAGAATTCCCGATGGATCTCAGGCCGGGGCCGGGGCACAGGGATGCTCTTGTTGTTCAGATTGCTGACGGGAGTTTCGCTGTGCTGGGCAGAGTCGTTCTCATACAGAGTGTGAGAGATCTCGGAGTGGCTGCGGCGTGACAGCTGGGAGGCGCGGACCAGGGCGTGCGTCACCGTCACCAACAGCACGATGATGCCAGAGGAGAGGATGCAGGCGCTGGCGATGCCAGCCTCGAGTTCAAACAGCAGCAGCATGTAGATGGCAAGAGCTGGAAGGGGGAGTGCAGCACACCGTGAGGAACCAGATGGATTCAAGCGATGCATCTGACCTGCAAAGTTCAGGCCAGAGCTGCCCCGTGGGGGCTGCTCACCAAGAGAAGAAAGTTCACGCTGCGGCTGATGCTATTTGCAAAGCAAACCTGATGCTTTGGTGGAAATGCAGCAGCTCACAAGCAATCAGCATCTAGAGAGAGGCCTGGGCTGGACACAGTCCCTGCCTTCCCCCCGCAGCAGGCTGTGTTCGTGGGCAGTGAGCACTTACCTGTCAGATAGACTGAGACCCCGCAGCAGAACAAGCCGATGGCCGCGTGGCGAACTGTCCGGCTGTCCAGGAGGAACCAGTCTGCCCTGCAAAACGGGACAGAAACACTTTGCTGAGATGGGGCTGCGTTGTTTCCTGGCCCCTGCTGAGGAACTGAAATGCTGCTTTTGCATGGAGAAGTTCAGGGCTGAGTCTTTCCTCTGTGCTGCACAGCTCTGCATGATCTGTTCCCGCTCTGGAAAAAGGATTTTGAGATGCCTGATTCTGGCTGTGCTTTGGAAAGCAGGTAGGGCAGACAGGAGAGATTCAGGCGGCTCAGGGCTCTCTGCAGGTGATTTGTCCTGTTCAGCAAACCTTGTAGAGCAAGCAAGGAACAAAAGTGAGGCCTCATGCCCATCTCCCCCTTAAAGAAAGAGTGAAAAGCAAAGTGCTGGTGCACTAAATTTAGCAAGGCCAGGTTGTCTTTGCAGCCTCGGGAGTGGATTTCTTTGCTCAGCTCAGATTGCGAGCCCTTTGTCTGGAGGGGGGGGCGTTGTTTGAATCGCTCCTAAACCACAGGAGAAGCACAGCTCGTTTCCTGCAGGGCCCTCCTTTCCAGGGGCGCACAGAGCATCACGGATTCTGCAGCACCTCCAGAAGCCCTGGGGCCCATTGGAAGGACACGGGACCTGCAGCTCAACATGACACGACTGTCCCGGCAGGACCAGCCCTCACGTTGCTCTTCCGCGGCTCCCTCCACCCCATGGGACAAATGCAGCAGCCAAGGGACGTTGCGCCCTGTCCTCATTTCCTCCCCGAGTCCCCCAGCACGATGCCCTCCTCCTGTGCCTGCTGCAGCCTGGAGCCGTTAATGGAGCCTGAACCCGCTGCCCGGCGAGGAAGAGCAGCCGCTTTGTTTTCTTAATTACCTGAGTCGGGAGGGATTAGCGGGGAGGAGAAGGACTTTGTTTGGAGCTGGCTCGGACTATTGAGCGCAGCGCTGAGAAGCGGAGCGGTAATTCAGTGTGACAGCCCCAACGTGGGAAAGGTCCCTGGGACGTGAGCTGGTCCCCTAATGAAACCAGCGCCCGGTGGGGCCACGGAGAGATGGCAGCAAACGGCATCACAGGGAGAGGGGCTGCATCCCAGCACCTCCTGCCCCAGGCTGCCTCTCTTCCTCCCAAAACACAGCGTAACCCTCAGCTCACAGCTGGGAAAACGAGGCGCTGCCTGACCCATCCCAGGCAGAGGGATGCGGAGCTGGGACTCCCTGCAAGCTCCCTCCTGCCAAAGCCTTGCACTGCCAGCAGCAAAGCCAAAAGCAGCCTCTCACCGCATGGGGACACAGGAGAAGAGCACGGAAGCATCATATAAAGTCAAATTGTTTGGGAACAGCCTTGGGAGGGTTGCTCCAACCCAGCCGTGGAGCAGGTTGCTGCCCTCACACTGTGTCTGTGTGACCTCCATCGCTGCTGCTCAGTGCTCAGCCTGCCTCAACCCTGAGGCTTCCACACAAGAATTGCACAACCTGGAAAATGAGCATTTTCCAGCCCAAATGAATACAAAATCTCAAACAAATTCACAGCCAGTGGGTGGATTTTCCACTGTAAGCAAGGTTTACTCTGGGAATCTTCACTAATGAGCACGTGGAGCTGCAGCATCACTTGGAAGCCAGCAGGTGAGACTTGCTGGAGCTGCTGCATGAAATGTGAGACACTCCAAGTTTTGCCAGATCCTGTTGTTTCCTCTAAGCTGAGCTGTGACTTGCTCACAACAGTCCCAAAACGGCCCTGCAGGAACCACCGTGGGAGCCACATGAAGGGACCGACTTCCAATGAGCTGCATTTCACTGCCATCATTTGCACGCTGCTTTTATTTTTGGTTCACCCAGGAGCCACCGACCAAAGCCAGGTCATGGTTGAGGAAGCAGATTGGAACTAATTGCATTGGAAACAGTTCTGCAAGTGTAAACGTGCTGTAATGATTAAGTCAGCACACGTCTGCTGGTCACCAAACGTGGGTCTGTGGTCACCTGACGGTCACCACTGTGGCAAGGGACAAACATGGGTGGCTCCAGGTGCAGACACAGCACGAGGGCTGGGATCACCCAGGGATGCTCTTGGGTAACTCCATAGGGTGCAGCAGCTGTGAGCTCATCAGTGCAGTCACTACGTGCAGCTAATGAAGGAGGCAAATTTACAGCCCCGGGGTGGATCAGCCAGAGGTAACCCCACTTCATGGGAGGGCACAGCAGGGAGGAATTTGGGCTATCACTGCCCAGCGTTCACCCAAACCCAGAGCGGTCCAACCCTTGCAGTCCCCTCTGCTCGCCCTCCCCAGGGAGGGGCCAATATCGCGGGGGGAAAAAGGAGTGGCGAGGACCCGTCCGAGCTCCCTCTGCATCCCTGGGGGTCCAGAGCACCCCGGTGCCCCCCACACCTTCCAGTCCCCGGTGCTCCCCCCGCCCCACCGCGGTGCCCCCCGCTCTCACCGCTCGGGCCCGGGCTGCCCCCGGCACAGCTCCGTGCTGAAGTAGCCGTGGAGGAGGCAGAGGAGGAGGCAGCTCACGTTGAGCACGAGGCAGAGCGCGGCCAGCACAGCCGACACCGGCAGCAAAACGGCGGCCGCGGATTCCGGCAGCGCTCCTCGAACGGCACCGGGACCGCTTCCGAGAGCGGTCCGACCCGCCGGCAGCTGGAAGATGAGGCTGGAAGCGAGCAGGGCCATGGCGGCGGACAGCGTGCCGAAGAGCAGGAGCACCGTCAGGGTCCGCTGCGGGTAGGAGGGCATGGTGGGGCCGGAACGGAGAACCGGAGGGCGCTGGGCAGCGCTGGAGAAGCCGCGCTCACCTCCGCTTCGACCCGGGATCGAGCGCTGAACCCCGGGAGCGCCGCTTTCCTCCGCGCAGCGCTGCCCAGACGGGGCGGTCCTGCCCGTCCTGTCCCCGGACCTCCCCACCACGACCGGACCCCCCCGCCCCGGGCAACGCGGAGCGGCTCCGCCCGCGTCCCACCCAGGGACCGGAGGGTGGAGGAAAGGGGCAGGAACGGGGGGGGGGGCTCCGGGGACGGACGCGAGGACAGATGGACAGGTGGGGGCTGGCCGTACCCCACCGGTACCCCACAGGTCCCCCCCCGCTCGCCCCTTTCCCAATCAGCTCCTGGAAATCCCTACCGGCCGTGAGCCACCCCGCTGCTCCTCGTCGAGGAAGGGGACGTCGGCCCCGGGGAGGTGCGTTTGACTTCAGCTGCTGCGTAAATTGGGAGTGAACGGCCGAAACGCGTCCCCGCGAGGCTGAGAAAGGACCGCCGGAACTCGGGGCCGGCCCAACTTTCCCGTGCTTTATAAATATCCTGGGAAGCAGAAGCTCCTCTTCCCCTGGGAATGGCTGGGAATTGCCCTTCGCAACACAATCCCTCGGGGGGGTAGGAGGGGGGGGTGGTAGCACTGAGCAACCCCCCCCAACCCCATTCAGCACACCCATGAATTTGGAAAAATTCACTCTGCAGATCCCCTTTTATTTTGGGAATGCACTCAGGAACAGAGGGGAAACTGAGGCAGGGGTTCCCTACTCAAACCCTCAGCCCCCAGAGCAGCCGTTTCCCACCTGTATGGGACAAGGGCAACATCAGGGCTGTGCCTTTCCGTGCACATCCCATGCACTGTGCCAGGGCCACGATGAGGACACGGATGGGAGATGCCTCCAGTTCCTTCCAGCCCGGTGTCATCAGCTTTTGGGCCCATGCCCAGCCCAGCTGTGGGATCCGGGATGGGCGACCTTTCCATCAGAGCCGCCTGTCCCGCGTGGGTGGTTCCTGCTGGCACCCTCTGCTCCGGAGCCACGCGGGACATGGGGCTATTTTGAACGCTGGCGTTGTTGGCCTTGGCAGCCAGTGATGGTTTGGCTCTCTGCTCATTTCCAGCCCCGCTTGCATTTTTGGCTGTGGGGGATGGAGGTCCCCAAGCCCGCATCCCTGGCATTTGGCTCAGGGTCCCCAAATCAGCCCCCAGTGCCAGGGCCCCTATCACCTCTGAGTGGCTGCATCACTTGAGGCTCAGCTCAGGTCCCCCCAAATCCCTGGATTTGGGGGCAGGAAGGGCCTCCAGAGGGAGCTCAAAGCTTTTGAGCCTCGAGTTTGCTGGCAGCAGCCAACCAGAGCCTGGACAACCCCTGTGCACCCCCTGACCCCAGGGACAGTCCCACACTCAAAGAGGGGCTCAGCTGGAAGCAGCCCTAGGCCAAGCCAAGCCCCAGGAGACCACAAGGTAAAGGAAGGGTCAGGGAGGTCTGATGCTCTGAGCAATCAAGAGGCCACCTCGTGTGTCCCTGCCCTGCAGCCGGGGCAGGAGGAGAAAGCTGGGGACAGCTGGACACGTTGGTGCAGGATGCTGCTCTCCTGATGCGCCTGCACTCCTGCTCTCCCTCCCACCTCCTCTCCAGGATCAATTAAGATTATGAGCAGGGCTAATTAACAGTCTGCTAATTGCACTCTGAAGCCCTCTATAACTCGTGAGCTTTAAATGCAGCTCTGAGAAAGATGTCGTGTCCTTTCCGCCTGCACAAACCCCACAGAAAGTCTGTGCTGGAGCCACTTCCCTCCCGCCCCACAGCTCAGGGACTGGGGCCGGCATGGCAGGGTGCAAGGACACGTCCCCTCCTGGGGAGCTCATTTCCATCCAGTTCTTTCCCACCTGCTGCCTGGGCACGTGAATTCAGAGTTGCATCAGTTCCGTGCTATAAACACAGCTGCTCCCAATGGGACGAGCAGCTCCCGGGCAGGCAGTGCCCTCCTCGCTGGGGCTGATCTGAGGGTTTGGATGCACAGTCCCAACACATCAGTGTCTCCCAAACCCAGGACTGCCCACTGCCCACTGGTGACTGCGTTGTCACCACGTGATGCAGCAGCATCTCACTTTTGCTCTGCACCCTCACCAGTTTGGAGTTGCAGCATCCACAAACACGTGCATTCTCCTCTCCCTGCTCGAGGTGGCCCCACTGCACGCCGTGTGCCCGCGCTGGGGACAGTGCCAGGAAATCACAGCTGGGCTCTCCATGTCACAAGGGCCTGACCCCCCCCCTGCACTGAGTGGGAACGGTGGCTGTGGGGTTTGCAGTGTGCACTGCACTGCGCTTTGCTTTGCTCAAAGGCCGCAGGGTGCACATCGAGGTTCCTCTCAGCTCAGCTCTCAGCTCTCAGTACCCAGAGCTTCCTTGCCACCTCCCTCATGTTATGTCACTGTGGTTCACCGGCCCCCGCCTCGGTTTCCACGACCGCTCGCTGCAGGGTGGCCTCATGATGAGCAAATGGTCCCTGAGCTGAGCAAAGGCACTGGCTGCTCTGCATGCTGTAGCACCGAGGGGAGCCCTCGCAGGGTGAAACGTGTAGGAAACAGAAACGTTTGTAATCAGAAGAGATCAAAAAAGAGATTGTTGCTGTTTAGCTGCAGAGCTTCCGAGCCGATGAGGTTTCTTTGTGACACGGGGGGCCGGGGTGCGGGCACTCCCAACCCTTTAGCAGATGGGCTGGCGATGCTGAGGGAGCCCTAACCCTGTGCCCTCAGCCTGCCCCCTTCAGTGAGGACAGGACCACCCCCGGGACCCCCGTAGCTCTCAGATTCCCACCGACTCGCGCTCCAAACCCCCATAACCTCACCTTTATCGCATCCCCCCCATGGCTGCACCCCCCAGCGCCCCAAGCCCTGACCCCATCCTCGGGGCACAGCTCGCGCCCTTAGCCCCGCCCCTTTCCCTGAAATAGGCGTGGTTTGCAAACCGGCCCCGCCGCAGCAGCCAATGGCGAGCGAGCCCGGCAGCACTATGCAAATTTATCCGCCCGGGGGGGCGGGGCTATGCAAATGTTTCCGTGCGGCTGGAGCAGGCAGCGGGCAGCGCGCGGCTCCCGGGAGCGCACCGGCACCGGACCGGCACCGGGACCCGACGGCGGCGGGGCCGCACCGGGCCGGGCCGGTTCCGCTGCAGCGCCAGGCACCCGCGGCCGTGCCGGCGGAGACTTACCAAGGAGAAGGAGCCGGTGTCCAGGTGAGTGTCCCGGGCGGAGAGGTGGGGTCCCGTGCGCACGGGGGCTCCGAGCTGCCCCTACCCCCCGGTGGGGAACACGGGATCGGCCGCTGAGCCGGTGGCTGGCACCGGGGTGCGTGAGGGGGAGATCGGGCTGCGCTCCCCCAGCCCCGCGCCTCGGCGGGACCCTTCGGTGCCGGCTGCCCCGCGGCGGCCGCCCCGTCGGTGCGCACGGGCCGGGGGAGGGGGGCACCGTCTGGTGCGGGGTGCGGGGCGGTGCGGTGCGGCCGGGACGGCGCCCTGCGGGCTGCCCTGAGCACGGCGGAGCCTCGGCCCCCGCCCCGCCGTCTAGGGATGGCGGGCTATAAAAAGCCTGTGGTTTGCGCCGCGCTCCGGCCGGTTATTTTTACTCGTGTCTGCGCGCAGAGGAACGCCTGGGTTTAACCCAAAAGTGCAGCCTGGCGGGCAGCCGCTCTGCCCGGCACTACGGATGCCTCCCCCGGGTCCCAGGCCTTTGGGTGGTGGGGCTGAACCCGCTGTGCTGTGGGGAAACTGAGGCACGGCACAGCCCGGCTCGAAACAGACAGCCCAACCTGGGCTTGATCTCCCCATGGCTTTGCTGGGATCATGTGCTGGTCTGTCACTGAACTGGAATTTGGTTACTTTATTGCTCCTGAGTGGAGATGTGTCCCATCCACATCTCTGTCCTGTCCACATGTGGCATTTCCAGTGTGTCCCTCTCACATAAGCATCTCCATCACTGCAGGGACAGTAAGGTGCATCCCCTTCCAAGCCCTCTGCCTGCTGCAGCCGACTGCCAGCAAGTCCCCATCCGTGGGGCTTCACTCTTTTAATGAGGGAAAGTTTCCCAGAGCTGTTGGGATGGAGTTTTGCAGGTAATGAATTAAGGTGACAGTCAGCAGGTGAGCTGTAAGGCAGTGATGGGCCGAGCGCCATCAGTCCATGTGCATCCTCCGGCAGGTGGGCAGCTGCCCTGCTGGGAAGGGAGCATGGCTGAGCAGAGCAGGGAGCCAACTGCTGGCCTTGCCCCGTGTTCCTAACTGCAAGCTGGACAAGTCATGCAGGCCAGGGGAAAACCTGTGCAGCTCAGGATGTGGGATGTGGGACGTAGATGCAGGGCCTTGGCTTGATTTTAGGATTTGATTTTAGGTCAGACTCACTAAGCCACGACGGGGTGATGTGAGCCCAGTAGCGGGTCGAGGATTGCTCTGTTTAAGACCCTTGAATTTCACTCCTCTTCACAGCAGGCTGTCAGGAGCAAACCAGGTTTGTGCAGCACACACGAGGGTGGGCTCAGCCATCACCATCTCATGGCTGCCGTCCAGCAGCAAGCAGACTTCATTTCCCATACTGACACTCAGTTGTAGCACGGGGTGACCCAGCTCTGCAGCAACAGCATGCTCCTGCTATGGGCAGCACCGCCAGCACCGAGCAGAAAGGGTGGCCTGGATCCCAGAGGGGGTTTGGATGCCTGTCTGCCTTCCCAAAGAGAAGAGCTGCCTCAGTGTGGGGGTCATTGCCATCCTTCCTCGTTCCACACAGTCATTTCAGAACCAAACAGCCTCCACCCAGTGCTGCACCTCGCTCAGCGGGGCCGGGCGCTGCTGGGACTTTCGCTCTGCGTCACCCCAGTGAGGCCACATCCCCCAGCCCCAGCCTGGATGTGGCTCTGGAGGGATGCAGGGCAGTGCCATTGCCCAGCCTGGTGCTGCAGCAGCAGGCAGAAGCATGAAATTCTAATTGCCCCCAGGGATTTTTCTGCACGGTGACGGGGCGATGCTCGACATGGCTGCGTTTTGAGGCTCGATTGATTGTGTGCATGTATGTGAGATAGGGAAGAAGCTGTTGGGACCCCTTGTCCCCACACCCCCGTGCCCCCAGGTGCCCCCCTGTCCCCCGGGCTCTCCTTCCCAGCAGGCTCCTCCTGCTTTCCCGCTCTGGTTCCTGCTGGTTGGTTGTTTAACCAACCTATAAAAAGCAGAAGGCCCCATCACCCCTCTGCAGAAACGCTGCTCAACGTTGCTGTTTCCTCATGCCAGCCTCAGGGTGGCACTGAGCCCCAACGCCACCCATCCTCACGGAGCAGGGCCACGTCCCCAGCACAAAGCAGGGCAGCTCCCACCACATGGATGCATCCTGAGGTCTGTCCGTGTGTCTGTCTGCAGCCACTGCTCCTCTGAGCCTGCTGCCCTCCTGGCCTGGAGGTGCCACAGCTCCTGGCCAAGCCCACGTTACGGCCCAGGCAAAGATGCAGTAGA